GACCACAGTCAGTCTTATTCGTTCTCATACATTTTGGTCTATTTTTAGAGAATGTTTTGAAATAAAAGTCAAATTGCATTTAACCTGTGCGTTTTTTTTATTATAAAAAGAAAAGGTTTTCCACATATGCAAAAAGTGCCCTTTTTTCCCCCTGGAGCACTTGCCCCCCAAAATGTCTGTGCACGCCACTGTGCCAGACCCTCCCTCACCGGGCACATACACTTCCAGCCATTTAGAGGTATGATCTCCTTGACTGCGTGTCTTTGGAGGGAAGCCCATGCCACATGTGGAGAACATGCAAACAAACAGAGGAAGAATCCAAACTGCAGACCCTGCAGGTGTGAGCCAGTGGTACGACCCCCTGAGACACCGTGTTACGCCTTTACACAGAAGTAAAACAGGACATGTTTAACAGCTGCATATGTCACAGAGATGTCTACTATGCAGAAAGGCTTCTCCAGTATTCATGGACCCAACTGACAGTCTGTGTAAACCAAAAGATAATGACCTCAATGACTGAAATAATGTCAAGACAGTAATATTAACACAGTATAACTATTTGTAATCAGTGGGCAACATTTAAATGATAATAATGATGATGATTAACCCTTAGGTGGTGGTAATAATGATAACAACAATCATCATCATCATCATCATCATTATTATTATTATTATTATTATTATTATTATTATTATTATTATTATTATTATTATTATTATTATTATTATTATTGTTACAAAGGGTGCCTTGTGGTGCCATGGTTAGCACTGCTGTCTCACACCTCTGGGATCAGGGTTTGAGTCCTTGCTCCTGGCCACACGTGTGTGGATTTTCTCCCTGTGTTTTTGTGGGGTTTCCTGTGGGTGCTCTGGTTCCCCCCCACACACACACACTTACCAAATTACACACACTTGTGTGCCTGTAGCCTACAGGATAGGCTTGGGACCCCCCCCCCACACACACACACAATCCAGACTAGGACAGGTGGTTACAGAAAATGGATGGATTTTTATTTGTATAGCACCCTTCATAGATGAAATGCAGCTCAAATTGCTTTACATATTGGATAAGAATTAAGAAAAAGCAAAGCAGCTGTACGGAATACTAAATTAGGGATGGTTAAAAGATGCCCGGTAATGTACCCTATTACAACATAATTCTGAATATTGTAATGGAGGCTTCATTCTTCAACTTACTATGATCATTTTCTACCACAAAATATTTTTGTCTGTTAGTTAAAATAATCTGTAATTATAACTAGTATGTTGGATTCAGGAAAGGAGACATTTGCAACATAATCATTTTTTATCCCGGATGTGAGGTAAGCTCTGGTAGTAGGCCAGTGGCTTAAAGGTGAATGTCAAAGATCTTTAACATTCCTCGCCTCCATAAATGAAGCCTGAGATGTCTGTGGGTTTGTGGTCTTTCACATTCACACACCGTTTTCTCTGAGCATTTCAGATGGCTAAGCTACACCGGTGTTTCCCAAGCAGGTGCTTGGGGATCCCCGGTCGGTCCAAATTTTTGCTCCCTCCCGGCTCCCTGTCAGCCAGTCCGCAATTTTGCTCCCTCAAAACGAGGACCACCTGGGGGTCCCCGTGGATTGGGAAGAGAAACACTGAGCTACACGCACACGCTTCGTAACTGCCGCATTGGTACTCATAGGATGCTGGCTTAGGAATGCAAACATAGCTTATTTCAACCTTTGGCTCACACCTTTAACCACCAACCACCAACGTTTTGTTGTGGCAGCACCACGAAGGTAACACATATAACTCTCCCTGACTCAAGTCCACAGCTAATGTGATGCGTGCGTTACGTAACGTTCGGGATGCTCTTCTACCTCAGGCCTATTTCTAACAGCCCTGCTTGGATCTATACTATAATGTTCCCTGATGTTCTTGCACAAATCAGCAGCTGGTGGAACAATTGTTCAGTGGGCTTTGGAGGTTTGGGTCGCTCATCAAAGAGCTACATGTTCCCTCACGCGGCTGCTAGCAGAAGCGGCACAGTGATCGTCCTTTGGAGGGCTGTCACAAAAGGCTGCGGCTTGTCCTCACTTTCACTTTTTTAATTTTTACACTTTAAAAACGAAAGCTTTCTAAGATTTCCACCTAATACGTAGCGTGATCTCTGAGTTCTATTATCAGCAAAGAAACAGATAAATTTTGCCTTTGTCTGTGGTCCTCCTGGACTTTTGCACTTTAGAATCGTATTCTGTATCACCTCAGTTTAAAGGAAACCCGCTATCGTATACCCTAAACTGTCTTCATTCTCCTCCCTGCTAGTCCTTCGGGATTCAGTTACTTAGAATAGTCAAAATAGGCTACATTTATTCCTTGTGATTTTTCATTTTGTGGTTTTTTTTGCAGATCTCAATTTGTGTGGTAACTATAGGGCTAGAATATGGAACCTTCATTTGTGTCGAACCGAACCGGTATGAAGAAGACTTGGTGTCCAGTAGGCTTGGGCGGTATGACGGTATCACAGAAAATCCCGAAGGTATTATTTTTAATACCGTAAAAGTACAAACATTCCTCTTCCTATGAAAGCGATATGGAGATGCTGTATTGAGGCGATGTATTGTGGTGCATTGCGTTCAGGTGATTGGAGTGTGTAGGTTAATAGCACAAAGACGAAATGCGCTGTGAATGTGCTGTAGACTGTTGGAGCAGGAGTGGCATCTTCAGTGCTTAGACACCTAGTGCTCATGCAGCTGCAGTCGCAGTCCCTGCTTACACTTACACTGCTTACACTGACCCTGCCCACACTTACACTGCTTACCCTTACACTGCTTACACTGACCCTGCCCACACTTACACTGCTTACCCTTACACTGCTTACACTGACCCTGCCCACACTTACACTGCTTACACTGACCCTGCCCACACTTACACTGCTTACACTGACCCTGCCCACACTTACCCTGCTTACCGTCACACTGCTTACTTTTACACTGCTTACACATACCCTGCTTACATTTACACTACTTACGTCACACTGTTTACACTCACACTGCTTACCCTAACCCTGCTTACACTTGCACCTGGTCAGTCATTGGAAACTCAGCCCATCCGGACTTATGCCGAGTGGATCCATCGACAGCCGTATGTTTGTAATGTGCTATTTGCCTCACTTGTACGTCACTTTGTACAAAAGCTTCTGTTAAATGTGCAAAGATTTAAAAATGTAAATGTAATGGTTAGTGCTGTGGGCCCGTGTCCCATTCAGCACGTCCCCCGTCCTTCCTGTAGTCGTCACCTTATAGAGCAATTCTGTGAAGCCATATCATTTAATATCGCCTTTGGAGTTTTTTTTTTTTCTTATCCAGTTTTGTGGTTTTCACAAGAAGTCGCTTCATGGAAAGTCAGATGCATGTCATACCCAGAAGGATGACAGGGACTCGGTATGTATCTGTGTGGCCCAGAGCTGGGCCACTGGACCCGATTCTGCTTCTTTAGGCTTCATTTTCCTTTTTTGGTTTTTGTCATTTTAATGAGAATAGAACTTTCAAAATATATAATCAGTTTTCACTGCAGCAGCAGAAGACCATAAATCTCCTTCAAAATGCATTCAGATTCATAGTTTCCATCCCAAAACAATTCTTTTTGTGGGAAAGGATGGATTGCAAGAGTTTGTCTGACACTTCAGTAACTTGCTTATCCTTGTAGTATGTCCAACATTAACCTTATAACAGGTTTCAAATGAAGCCTTTATGTCAACTACTCCAAATCATTATTATTTTGCAAACAGGCAAGCTGATATACTAATACGGACCAATAGTTTGATATCTGAAGTTTTATTGTCAAGTGATCCAAGGAACACAATGAAATTCTTGTGCTACAGCTGCAGGGTTAGGGGACAGGTGCATCGGGGGACAACAGGACAGACAGCAGTGCAGTGCAATTGAGGACAAGGCAGTTCACGACAAACAGCAGTCCAATACAGAATAAGACAGTGCAGGACAAATAGCAGTGCAATACAAGATAAGACAGTGCAGGATGAACAGCAGTGCATTGAGAGACAGGACAGTGCAGGACAAAACAGTGCAATATAGGAATGAGTATCAAAATAGTAATAATTATGTGTGATATGGAAAATGGACCACAGTAATGGATGATAAATAAGCACAAGGTGCAGATAAAAGATAAAGTGCAGGCAGAATCTTAACAGCAACATGATGCTATGGGGGAGGGCGGATAGATGTCAACGGCGTAGCAGTTACAGTTTTATCTGTGTTAACTTCTTGTTAAATGAAGCTGGCATTAAATTACCAGGCTTTTCATTCATTGACCGAAAAAAATACTTAATCTTTCAAGGTCTTTGATCTTGGGGGACTTTCCCATTTAAGCTTTAGCAATGGAAACCGAGCGTAAGGAAATCTGCAATCTAGGGCGAGTGTGAGAGCTGAGTTTGGGTTCATATGCTTACTGGCTGTGAACGAGGGCACATGGAACAAGCAAAGGTAACAGCCGCTCCGCTCCGTCTTATTTAACCATCAAGAAGACAAGTACGGCGTTCAGTATATAGATTTCTGTTTTTATATGTCTCAGTTTCTGTTTTTACAACATATATATTGAAAATAGGTACCTTATTCCTGGACTAATAGTAAGTTCTTTGGTCAGTTTCACCTCTTCGATGTACATTATATAACTTCATTAATATGACTTTTAAAGAAAATTTCTGGCTCAGAAATTTGAAGGCATTCCTTTATTTATAGTCTATTATAGAATTTCTCAAGCTGAAATATGCTGTTAGGAACCTTGAGATTGCATATTGAAATCTAATGTCTGAAACTATCTCGTAATATGCTCGTAATCGTAGTATAGTATAAATTCATATAAAAGCACAAGATCTTACGTTTTTATCCTTTTAAAATTGTATGTTTCTGTACCTTATCAAATTTGTCTTTTTGTACTTATGTTTTACAGACTGGTGCAGCCCCAAGGAGGGGTTTGGGACCCCACTGAGTCTATAAGAAAGTGAAGAACTATTTAACAATGTAGGTCAGCACCGTGAGAATGTCTAACTTACCCTATGCTGAAATTGCCGCAATATAGGTCAACTGAAAAAGAATCCACATTGTAAAAAATGTCAGCCATAAAATGCCTTTAAATTTAGGGCTACAATATTCATCAAATAAAACGTAATGTGTTAGTTACTAATTGTTAGTTTTCTTATGACAGCTGATATTATTCTGTAAACCTTACCACCAATATACACAGCTGTATCCATGTCAGCTTATCGATTTTCTGCTGGCTTTCACATAATTAATCAATCAATCTTTATTTATACAGCACAGTTTTAAGAACAGTGTAGCTCACAAACATTTAAAAGAAAGGAATTAAACATACAAGAAATACGAATAAGCATCCAAAAAAATGGAATCAATTTTTATAAATAAATCAATAAATAATCATAATAATAAAACTCCAGCAAAAAATGCAGGACTTTAAGCATCCACGTTCTCGGTTGGGGGCCATGGGCGTCACCGCCATTAAATCTGAAGGGGACGTGTCCCCCTTACATTTCATAATTATTTGTTTGGACCCCCCCACATTCAACATAAGATATTAGTTTTATGCCAGTGTGTCCCCCCCCCACCTTCAAAATGCTTCTGACACCCCTGTAGGGGACGCTACGATAATCCCTATCATACCAGGGACTCTAGCCCCTACCTCTTCTGGGGGGAGTGACCCCTCCATATTCTCCAAAATAAATGAATAACTTTACATGCATAAAATAGTAAAATAACTGTCTATTGTAGATTATTATATGCATTGTGGAAAAGATGCGTTTTCAGCCTAGTTTGAAAGCACCAAGACATTCAGTAGCTGTCAGTAGTTTTCTGGGAGGGGGTTCCTGAGTTTGGGATCATGGTGACTAAAAGCTGCCTCCTCTCTCCACAGCCAGGCTATACGAATAATCAGTAAATTTCTCTCGGATGATCTGTAAGATCTACCTGAGACACAGGGGCGGATTAAGGTGCACAGAGGCCCCTAGGCTACAGTAGTCTGTGGGCCCCCCAACCCCGCCCCTCTCCACGCCAATGGGGGCCCCCTTGCAGGCTGGCACACGTGGGGCCCCCCAACCCCGCCCCCCTCCGCGCCAATGGGGGCCCCCTTGCAGGCTGGCACACGTGGGGCCCCTAGGCTTAAGCCATATCTAGCCTGTGCGTTAATCCGCCCCTGCTGAGACATGTTACTGAGGTTACTGAAGACCATGAAAACATTTACAAATTAACAAAATAGCCACAGGAAGCCAGTGCAGGGATTTAAGAGCAGGTATGATGTCATCCCTGTGACTGGTGCATGTTAACATTCTAGCAGTGCAGGGATTTAAGAGCAGGTATGGTGTCATCCCTGTGACTGGTGCATGTTAACATTCTGGCAGTGCAGGGATTTAAGAGCAGGTATGATGTCATCCCTGTGACTGGTGCATGTTAACATTCTGCCAGTGGAATTCTGGACCTGCTGTACATTTGAAATAGACTTCTTAAGTAGACCAGACAGGAGTGCTTTACATTAATCTATTCTACTTGAAACAACAGCTTGTATGACTTTTTCTACAGTGAACATTGACGGAATACCCCGGACTTTGGAGATGTTACAGAGGTGGTAGTTTGATGTTATGCAGACATACCTTAGCTGTTAAAGCTAAGGTGACCATTGAAACAGACTCCCAGCCTTCTAACTGGTTTTTCGGCTTTCAGAGACTCCAAGTACACCAGTATATCCTTCCTCTGTACTTCATTCCCATTCACAAACAGCTGGGCTTTATCCTTGTTCAGCTGCAGAAAGTTTTGCGACATCCTTGAGTTTGTTATCTATGCAATCAAGCAGCCAGTGGACCCACGTGCATCAGGAGCCAGTGACAGATAGCTGTGTGTAATCTGCATACTGATGACAGCTGATCTTATATTTATTAATTATAATTGACAATTGTAGCGTGTACAGGCTAAATAATACCAGTCTTGGGGGACTCTGCATGTAACAGCATTAATGCTTTGGAACACAGTATTCACGCCCACTTAGGTATGATCTTACCCAGTCTAAGATTGTACAAGAGATGAACTCGCAGTGAACTTTGTACAAATGAAACACAATTCATTTCTTTGAAGTTGATTTAATGTCAGATTTTTGTGCACTTATGTATTTTCAAGTATGGAAAACATTTTAACATTTATTTATTTTATACACAGAGAGCCAAATCATGGCTTAAACAGAACGATATGGATTTCTTCAGGAAGCCCTTGGCGTTAATATTCATTTATATGTTTGACTTGAAAATGGGATGTAAGTATGTTTATAATTTATAAATTTTAGAAATACTTCTAAATGTTTGCAGAGTAATCCTGAATATCGTAATAAAATAACAATCAAAGCTTCACATACTTTAATATGCAGTTAATCCTCCAGCGCACTTGCCATTTATATGTCATTTACTATTGACCGTAAATTGCACCATTACATTTTCTAAACCCGAAACAAGAAAAGAAACTATCAATCGTAACTTTGGACGCAGCGTTGGAAACCCGCAGGAAACCTCGGTTTCTCATCGCTGTTATTGCTTCGTGCCTCTGTCCTCAGGCGCCATCAGCATCGTCTGTGAGGGGGTGCTAGAGATGGACGCCGGACCCGTGGTCCCGATGGGATCGGACCTGAGAGTGCTCTGCCGGGCCCCGAAACGGCACTGCGGCCGCCCTTTCTCCATCTACCTAAACGGGAAAGCGCAGGAACCTTTGCGGATGCTCAACTGCTCCACCGTGTGGCTGAATCTGACCAACATCAACACACCAAAGCTTGAGCTGATATGCAAAACCAGCCAGCACAAGAGCGAGTGGGTCATCTGTGGCCAGAACCTGCAGTCCGGGTGTAAGTGATCCCTCCGCATCTGCTGCCGTGTTTTTATTCAGTGAGTGTTGCCAGGATTAAAACCTGTCATATAAACTTATGACACTATGACGTCCGACATGCAGTTTATTTTTGTATGATTTTTTTTTTTTTTATTTCCGAGGGGCTATATTGTCCAGGTTTTATTGTCCTCGACAAATTACTTGCCTCTGGTAAGTGGGCAAGCTTAATTTCCAGACCTGCATGTAAAACTTTGTCTCTGCAGATGCCCCAGACAAACCGACCAAATTCAGATGTTTCGCTCCAAGGGATTCAGAGCAGGTGGAGTGCTTTTGGGAGAGAGGAAAGGAGACTCACCTTCCCACCAATTTCAGCGTCACATTTGCTGAGTGAGCAATCGCAGATATACGCTATTTCATTCTTACTTTGCCATTTTTGTCACACTTAACAAGAATGGAAATAATCCTTTCTGCAGCAAAAACGGGACCAACATATTTCTTGACTGGAACTACAATACAACTTCTCTCAAAGTGCCCTGGTCCGTTTTTGACGCGAACGTTGAGTGCGTGGTGAATGTGAAAGCTCAGAATGCTCTTGGAGAAGCTGTTTCTGATATGTTCCTGCTGTCCACCAAAGATGTAGGTGAGTTCAGTGCTATTTTCCCCCTGTACTTTAATGAAGGCTGGCTAAGACCACTTTTTTTAATTATAGAAAGAAGAAAAAAAAGTTTGTACATTAGAGAGTTGATTTCCATAGCAAAAAATCTTGCGAATAAATAAGGTTGTGGTCTTAATTATTTTTTGTTCTTCTTTTGGTGTTAAAATTCCTTTTTTTTTTCAGAAATACCCAACACACCAAAAATTATCAGCATATTGTTCAAGAATGATTCAATGCTGGCCACACTGACCTGGCAGAGTGCAGAATCTGAGGTTCTGAAACCCAAAGTGAGGATTAAATCACCCAGAAATGGCTCAGATTTCGGGGTATGACTCTTGCAAGCTTGTAAATGTTCTGTATGATCTTACTCTGCATAACCTTACTGTGCATGAAAGCTATATGGTCAATCGAACTTTATGTCTCACCTTGACATTTGTTATTTGCACTTCTGCTAGATGCTACAATACATTTATTTGCCCATCTATCTATCTATCTATCTATCTATCTATAGTTATTATAGTAAAAATATTTTAATGGCTGATAAGTTATACTGGTTTTTGGAGTTTACACTAACATACTTTTCGTAGTACATTTGCATCATTGCATAATGACATTAAAGTTGAACTGAGCTGAGCTATAGTTAAAGTAAATCAATAGACAGGCAACGTTGCAGTAAAAATAAGGCTCTACCAATTCAGCCTTTGAAGGGAAGTTCATCAGGTGTGTACAGTATGTGCAATTGACCATGTGGTGTTTTGTGCAGCAGGAGCATGAATGTTCAGAGCAGGGCAGGGGGGTGCTGCTGCTGCAAGGCCTTCAGCCTCTGACCTGCTATGAGTTTCAGCTCCAAGTCTGCACTTTAGAAGGGATTCTTAAATGCAGCCTGTGGAGTCCACCGGTATCAACAACGAGCCCAGGGAGAGGTAAACACAGCACTCAGTCACAACATCTCAAAATGATAATCGCCTTGTGAACATAGTACTTTGTCTAGTGTAGACAGGCCTGTGTTACTCGACCTGAACACAAGGCTGGAAATTAAGCCCACCCACATACCTGAGATGAAGGGCAAGTACATTTTTTTACTGAAGTAGTCCAGTTGGCTAGAAACAAAAGTTTCTAAGTTTCACTCCCCCAAGAACACACGGCACTGGCAGGATGAGGCAATAGTGGTACCCAGTGAATCACCAAGCGGTCCTTTTTCAAGAGCAACATCTTTTTCTAATCTGATCTCCTCTTTTGTCAGCACCAAAGCGAAAACTAGACGTGTGGAGAATATTTGGAGGTTCTGAAGGAAACGGACTGAGAAATGTGACGGTTTTATGGAAGGTAATGGTCTAAAATTTCTCTTTGAACGACAAGCAACTTTTCTCCTTCGCTGCATGCTCAGGCCTCCAAGGAGGAGGAGGAGGAGGAGGCGTGAACATCGAATGCCACTTGAAGCACATGTGGAGCTGGGTGTGGATCTCTGTGAGCTGTGGAGCATATCTGACTGATCTAGTTGTGGTCTAACGACTATCTCAGACTGACAAAGAGCAGTCAAATACAGAGTCAGTCACTTAGTGACATCTGATGGAAAGACAAATAGTTTTCTTCATGGGAGTTTCTTGATGCAAGGCTTTGTGTCGTATTAAGGGAATTATGTTGTGTTTGGTCCTGGGTATGACGTCCTCCAACTTGGAGGGAAAAATTTGGAGGTTGGTAACGGGATTGGCGCTCCAGCCACCATAAAAATGTTCACCCAGCTCCAATACCACAGACAGGACTCTTTTGTGCTCTCCGTGGGAGTAGCTCTGTTGCAGCCACCTACAGGAAGGCTGCACGTATGATGAAAGGCACAGGGAAAGGTCTTGGGAGCTTGATCCCCGGAAGAGTCGAAGCCACAGGAGAGCCAATGGGGCCAGATCTGTTAGGAATCGGACCTGGTTTGGTGCTAAGGCATCACTCTCTACACAGCAGCACTTGGGTCGCAGTTTGAGGCGGCCCTTTTGGGTAGTCGTGTGGAACTTCTTCTCTCTTTGGCATGATGACTGTCTTCCCCTGCTGTTGCGGGAGTTTTGTAAACTCTGCATTTTGGTGGCGGCACTCTCTGAGGTACGCAGACCGGGGAGTGGCCAGGTCTCTGAAGGTGGGTACACCATCTTTTGGTCTGCTTGCTCTGATGGTGGCCATACTCAGGGAGTAGCTGCTGCTGTGATGGATTGGCTGCCAAGTGGGACCCCGAGGTATTTTGTCATGTGGTGGGTGAGGCAAAGCGCTGTACCAGTGCCTGCTCCCTAACCTGAGCTGACATCTTGCATGAAGCTTGCTACAGTTATTACAGCTATGAAAACGCTGTTTAACCAATTTGTAAATGATTCTCGGAAAACCCTGAACCCTAAAAAAATCCTGCGCATGCAAGCTTCTGGTTATGCTGATTTTCACCCTTTCTTCACTTTTAACCACATTATTTAGCTGTTCCTGTAAGTTGTTGCCTATTGCTTTTCCGTCCACCTGTGCAGCTAATCAATCAGCCATGACAAGACCTGACAACAGGATCATGATCCATTTCAACTAACTCAGTGCCAAACATATCAGATGGAGCTGTAAGTCTGTCTTAGAGGTGCAGTGAGACAACATGGGGTTTGAATTTCATGTCTGAAGACATCTATCTATCTAACTTGAGAATTGAGAGGATGGTAAAGAGCACAGGCAGGTAGCAGAGATACCTACAGGGGGCACTATAACATCAGCAGTAAGCAATAGGGAGGGGATATGGAAGGCAGACAGGCAGGGGCAGAAAAGCGGAAGGCATCCTGTAGCTCAACAAGTGAAGCATTATGCTACTAACATAAAGGTCATGGGTTTAAATTCTATAGAGCACAGATAAGTGAAAACCCTCTAGTGTAAGTGTCAGATAAAATGCCTGTGCATTTGAGGACAGAGGCTTCAAGTGGTTTGCTTTCTGCAGTGTGCATATATATATATATATATATATATGTGTGTGTGTGTGTGTGTGTGTGTGTGTGTGTCACTATTGAATGAACACAAAGACATATTCAGGAGCATGAAATAGTAAAAAAATACCGAAATAGTAAAAAAAGAGAATTCTTTCATACCAAGAAGACGTCTGCCCTCTGATGGAGTCTCATTGTTGTACACATGTGCTGACCATAATCACCTGCACCCATTGCCAAATGCAGTACATACACGTGATTAGTCACAGCTCTGCATGGACTGTAATGGCACACAGTAAAATGAAGTAGGCTTTACTGTGTGGACACCATGAAGGTCTTAGCGACAGGAGCAGCTGACAGAAGTCTGGTGTCATGCCCGGCTCGTCTGATCCTCCCGTGTGCCATGCCTCCTCACTACCTTGTGTGGAATCCCCATGTTTACCAGCTGTTTCTTGTTGTAATTGATTAGTACAATGTATTTAAGTCTGCATTAGGTATGTTTTCTCCAGTCCGGTCATTAACGTTGTGACGTTTCGTAACATGGTGTGTATGTGTGTAAACATATTCCTTCAATTAAACCCCGTATTCTCCCGACAGCTGGAGTCCTGCCTTGCTTCCCCGTTGCGACATCTGGGGTCATGAGCAACATCATGGTTTCTGATGGGGAGTGGGGGACAGGGTCCCAGTGAGCCTGAAGCCTATTCCAGCAAGTTTAGGACAGAAGGAGGGGTCTCACAGAGTGTGGGAGGGGGTTAAGGTTACACCTTAAGGCGGAGATGTGATGGCGCTGACATGCGGGGCATGTCACAAAAATTTCCCAATCTGAAGAGAGCAGTTCTCTGTAAATTGTTGTGAATTCTTGATTCTTGTCTGATATCAAAAGGGGCACTCTGTAAAATGTGCCGGCTGGGGGGGGGTGGCGGAGGGGTCCCCTAGGTAAACTTTGCAGTGGCCCCCCTGCTGTGATGGGCCTGGGGGTGGAGGCACGTCTGCCCCCTGCCTCTTCCGCTATTGGGACCAGGAAAAAATTGCACTGTGAAATTTCATAGTAAAACTGTACACTTGTTTGACGTATGATGTTTGATGTACTTTCACAGTTCAACCATGCATTTTTACAGTGAATTGGCAACTTTTCGTGGTTCTACTGTGAAATCTAAGGTTGAACTCTAAACTGTCAGAATTATAAACCCCGGAAGAGGTGACCATGAACTTTAAAGTAAAACAAAAGTGAAACATTTCTGAAATGTAAACTTTATAGTACAACTATGAATATTCCAGGTTTAACTGTAAACTTCACTGGTTTACTTTGAACTTTCACAGTGCATTTTCTCCTGAGAAGAGAGTAATGTACCTTAACATTGGAAAATCACATTCATACAATGGATTTCATTGACATCTGTCTGTCATGTTTTTTGCAGCCCTTAAGTACTGAAGATTACAGTGGTGCTATCTTAGGTTACGAGGTCACATACGAACATACATACGGCGGGATGGAGGTCGTCTCCTGTGCAGCTAATGTCACGTGCCGCACGCTGCAGCTCCCACGCAGCATGAAGGTCCTGCACATCAGCGCCATCACATCCTCTGGAAACTCAGCGCCTGCGGGTATAACCCTCACGCACCCAGGTTTGGTAATTCTACAAACACTGCAGCGGGAGTTTCTAAATAAAGTGCCGATGAATGAGAACTTGATATTTTTGGTAGACTGATGTTTTCCAGCATCAGCAGTTGTTTCAATGCAGAGCATCCTCTAAAGGGTTCAGTCGTGGTAGGGGATTTTATTAAGGGTGCATTTCCCAGAAACACATAGTGGTAAACCAGAATCCAACACCATGACGTGGTAAAGTCTCACCCCATAGTGCATCTCTCTGCAGGCTTGCCTTCTCCTCGGGTGATGCGTTTGGATCCTGTGGGTGAAGACCGCATGTTCTTGATGTGGGAGGTCTATATTAGCTGGAACAGCTCATTGGTCTGCTATGTAGTCCAATGGCAGAGCAGCTCTGTGGATGTACAGTGGAAGAGGATACCTCCAGAAAACAATTTTACATACATCGAAGGTGAGATTTGCATGAAAAGGTGAGCTCTCCACTAAACGCACAGGGTACATCTTACCTGCGGCTGTAATTCAGGTATCACCTGAGCAGCATAATAGGAGCGTTTTTGTAATCATCCCCAATGTCCTAACACCATGAGGAGAGTTGACACTGTTAAGAAGCAACCTAGAGGAAGTTGGGGTGAGAAACCAGTTGTGGGCAGCAAGTGATTTCCGATGCAAGGTGTCTTCATATTCATCAGTCACTTTTATAAGCATGGCTGAGCTGAGATGTTTTTCTGTTGGTCTGCTCTGTGGCCACTTCATATGTGTTCCTTGTTTGCTTTTACATGGATATATTTTTAGGTTCTTTAACCTAAGTCAGAGACAGAGGCGGGCATTCCTCGGGACATGGGCCCAGGAACCCAGGCCAAACCGCCCATGGACAATGTGACTTTTCAGTGTGGATTGTTATTAACACTGAGCATGAAAACAAGTTCATTAAAATGTGAAGGTGTTTGCTGAATATTACAGGTTTAAAGCCAGGGATCCAGTTCAACGTGTCCCTGTATGCAGTGGCTTTGCATGGTTCCTCTGATCCAGCTACTACCCAGGCGTACTCTAAAGAGGAGGGTAAGTTCAAAGGTCATCACTCATTGCAGTGTTTCTATTGAGTTAAGAATACATGGTATTACTGTAATTCAGTTTTCCGACATAAAATTGTACAGACGCTCCCTGGGTTACGATGGTCCGTGTTACAATATTTCAACTTTACGATAGGTAAATCTTTTTCACTTTCACTACATTATTCAATAAATGGCATGATATTTTCAACACGTTGTTATGAAATAGGTTTTGTGTTAATGATTTTGCCCTACTGCAAGCTAATATAAGTTCTAAGCATGTTTAAGGTTGACTAGGCTAGGCTATGATATTTGTTATGTTAGATGTACTGTATCAATATGCATTATTGCCTTAGGAAATTTTTGCCTTACGACAGGTTTATTGGAACGTAACCTTATCATAACCTGCGGAGAGGCTGTATTGTCTTTAGAATGTGTGACTCTTGTGGGGAGCCCAGTCCTCTAGGAGTGACAGGAATGCTGTACCGGAACAGATTATGCTTTAGCTGAACAGAATTGGTCGTAAACTGGGCTCTTCTGTGAAGTCTCTTACGCCTAAAATCTCAAAACTCTTCCCACACCACTTGAGTCAAATGGCAGAAAACTACAACTTTATAACCTGTTTCAGTGCCACTTTCTGGACCTAAGGTGTCGATCCAAACTTCTGAAGAGACTCGCATCCTCATCCGGTGGGAGGCTCTTGAACTGGGCCAACGGCGAGGTTTCATTACCAGCTACAACTTACACATGAGGAAATGTGACACTGGGAAGCGCCTTCAAAATGGTGAGACATGGGCTCGCTCACCGAGTGCGTGTGGTTTTGGTTTTTTTGTTTTTTTTTTCTTGCAGTGTGCACACTTCTCTGTGAGGGCTGACATGCATGTCTGTGCCGTCACGCACCATGTTTATGTACTAACATGCATGTCTGTGCCGTCACGCACCATGTTTATGTACTAACATGCATGTCTGTGCCGTCACGCCCCATGTTTATG